TATGGGGGCGGGTTGCCGGGGGGGGTTCGAGCAACGGGGGGGGGGTTCGAGCAGGGGGGGGGATTTTCGGAGGGGGGGGGACCCCCCGGCTTAGGAGGAAGAGGGGGGACAGTTTTCCACAGTAAAGCGGCGGTGGATCACGCTGACCCCAAATTTTACTTCTTCATCGAATATACAAACAGTTCGTCGAACTCTCGTAAATCTACATGCGCTCGACTGTTGCTCGTAGGCTCGACGAAAATTTCAAGTTTGGGACAAGGCAATTATGTAGTCAATCCCCTACCCGATCCATACGTGATCCTGTAGATACGCTCCGCGCAGGGCATGTGCGCAAAGAGGCCGTGGATCGGCGTGCGCCTCCCGCCCTCGAGCCCACGAACTTCTTATGTTTCAGCACACTCATCACTCCCCTCCTCCCTCAACGTTTCCCTCCCTGTCCTCCTCTTTTCTCTACCCCTTTTAATTAGGCAAGTGAACATGGCATGTGGAGAACGCCAGCGGTGTCACCAGGAAGTCCCCGGTGCTTTCCCTCAGGCTGGCCCAGGGCCCCCGGGAGGCCTCCCAAGGCCTCCCAAGGCCTCCAGAGCTCCCCTCAGAGGGCCAGGTTGCCCACGTGTCTCCAAAGTGGCGCGGGAAGCTTGGTACGCCTGAGGCCAAGAACAGATTTGGCCACCCCGACCCTTTCCTCGAAGCTGATGGACCCCCCTCAGTAATCTACCCTCCCCCTTCTCCACCTCCTCCTCCTCCTCCTCCTCCTCTTTCCCTCCTCCTCCTCCTCCTCCTGCTGCTCCTCCTCCTCCTCCTCCTCCGCCCTTCTCCTCCTCCTCCCTCCTCCCTCCGCCCTCCTCCTCCCTCCTCCTTCCGCGTAGTGCTCCTCTTCCATCCTTCTTCTCCTCTTGCCTACTTCCTCCTAGCCACGTCTCCTCCCTCTCCATTCCTGGGGGGGAGGAATGCCAGACGTTTGGCGGATTGATCTGCTTAATCCTGGCGCTGTTTCATTTTATGGTGGCCTTTAGGGGCGGTTCCGCGCGCTGCGGAGCCGTCAGAAAACGGTCCGCGACAACACAAATTGCCCCAGGCAAGAGTCGAAAGTTTCTGAGGCCCGCGGATTGAGCAAATCAATCCGCTAGATGCCTGGGGAGGAGGAGGAGAAGGAACGAGGGAGTTTTGAAGTGTTTGGTTTTCTTGGGGCTTCTGTGTGCCCGCTTGTTGCCGCTGCTGGACGTAGCTCGAACAAATCTAGACGCTTCGCGTACCCCCACCAGAAAGCAGTTTGTTGCTTGTGTGCACCCCTGGCAGTGCAGCCACCCTGGCTGCCACCGCTATCCTTGCATGGACGCTGTGTGGGCGTTTTCAGCTCCTGGCCTTGGCATCCACACTCAGTACAGCTTGCAGCTCACGCGAGGCACCGCTTAGTCCACTTAGGCAGTTTAGGTTGTCGGCTCGAGTTTGCTGTTGTCAATTAGTCGGCCCGCACCTCGGATTTACGACTCGCCGCGTGCGTTTTCGCCCGCGGCCGCGACCAACAAACATCCCCACCAGCCCATCCAGAAACGATGCCCAGGCGAGTTGAGGTGATCAGGGAAGTGCGGGAGCAAAGAGGAGGACGGTCGAACCGTGCAACGGAGTGAGGAGGAGAAGGAGGAGGTGGATGGATGGATGGATGGATGGATGAGGGAGTGGGAAGAACGAGGATGAATTTGATGATGAGGAGGCGCAGGGGGAAGATGATGAGGATGAGGAGGAGGAGGAGGCAGAGAAGGAGTGGGAGCAGGAAGGAGGAACAGGAGAAGGAGGAGGGCAAGCACAACGGCCAGAGGTCTCTTGGATGCCTCTCGGAGCCTCTTGGGGTATCTCTTGGGCGATTATTGGTGGTCTCTTGGGACGTCTTGGGGGTCTCTTGGCGATCCTGGGGGGCCCTTTCGGGGTCTTGAGTGCCTCGGGGGGGGGGGGGGCTCTTGGGGCCGCTTAGGGTTTTTTGGGGGGCCTCCTGGGGGGCTCTTGGGGGCCTCTTTGGGCCATCTTGGGGCTATCTTGGGACCTCTTGGGGCCTCCTGGGCGCTTCTTGGGGCCATCTTGGAGGAGATCGGTCAACGAAGGGGGGGTCCTCAATTACGCGCCCCCTTCAGGAGCACCCAGAATCGCATCCTGGACCAATCTTGGAGCGTTCTTGGGGCGCTCTTGGGCGCTCTTGGGACCGTCTCGGGGCTCTCTGGGTCCTTTATTGGACCCCAGTTGGGCCATTTTGGAGCGATGTTGAGGCCTCGGGTGGGCATCGGAAGCGCAAGCGCGATAACGCCCAAAACATTGATTTGGGGAGCTCTTTTGGCCACTTAGACCCGTCTTGGAGCGGTCTTGGGGCATCTTCGGAGCTATATCGAGGCATCTCGCGCTATCTTGAGCCACCTTCGACGCTATCCTGGGCTGTTCTGAAGCCCTCATGGGGCCATCTTGGGCCATCTTGGACGCTCTAACTACCCGCGGCCACCCCCGTCCAGATCCAGGGGAGGGGGTAGGGGGAGGGGTCAAGTTCCCCCCTCCCCGCCCGCAAGCCGTTTCGCTCACTCCCACCCGCCCTCCCAACACATACGTAGCACCCGAGTCTGGCCCGAGCCTCAGCATATTCAGCAGTCGTCTTGGGATGGGGGGCTACTGGGGGCCAATCCGCCGCCGCCGCCGCCGCTGCCTCCGCCGCCGCCGCCGCCGCCGCCGCCGCCGCCGCCGCCCGCCGCCGCCCGCCCCCGCCGCGCCGCCGCCGCCGCCGCCCCGCCGCCGCCTGCCGCCTGCCGCCGCCGCCGCCGCCGCCGCCGCCGCGCGCCGCCGCCGCCGCTGCCAAACCGCCGCCGCAGCGCTGCGCCACCGCCGCCACCGCCGCCGCGCCGCAGCCGCCGCCGCGCCGCCGCCGCCGCCCCCGCCCCCGCCGCCGCCGCCGCCGCCGCCGCCGCCGCAGCCGCCGCAGCCGCCGCCGCAGCCGCCGCCGCCGCCGCAGCCGCCGCCGCCGCCGCCAAGTGTATTTTGTATTGTTTTTTGGCAGGGATGGTGGGGGGGGCCGCATCGGGTTGGCTGCGCATGTTCCGAATTTGGAAGCAGAGTGTGTTTTGTATAGGTTTTTTACAAGGGATGGTGGGGGTGGGGGGGTCGGCATGGATTCGGGTTGGCCCCCAGTCGCCTGGGGGAGGGGGTGTTTATTAATAGGGAACAGTGATAACCCCTCCCCGAAGGGGAAGAGGGAGGGGTGGAAGAGGAAACGTTTTAAACCACCGACGCCCAGAGGGCTGGTGGGATTGGCCCGGATGGTCTCCGGGAGTGCGGCCCGGGAGTGTTGCGGCGCATGCTCGCAGAGGCCCCAACCATTGGTTCTGTGTTGATTTTCCGAGGTCTGGCGCACAACGGGCCGGGGCCAGGCTCTCCGGTCGCGG